CAAACGGCTTTCAAACGGCTTCTAAACGGAATTCCGTTCGAAAACGGAAAGTCGTTATAGCACGTTTTCGTGTGAAAGGTCACATGTTGTGTTCATGTCACAATAACCGATGTAAACAATCTGTTCCCAGATTTCTGCTCTATATATGCTGTGAGATTTGATTTTGACTTCATACACTATAAACAGTCTGCCTGTTTGCTGTTCAACAAATAAACTCCTAAAGACATGGCTAGGAAAAGCCAAGTATTTTTGCATATGTTATAACTCGAAAACAAAGCAAAAATCAGCGACAAGAATACAGGGCCGCGTTTTTCTACTACATTGAAGGCCACATGCAAAAATTCAAACCCTTTCGCGAATATTTTTTTTTTCACCCAAATCATCACTTAGCATGGTTTTGCACTCACCCCTTCAATTGTGTTCACTGACTGACAAACTCATCGTTGGAGAACACTTTGGTTTTGTTTACTGCTAAGTAGTTAGATACATGCAATATTCTTGAGACTGGGCTTTTTTGGACAAGGAATAGTTCTGCATTAAGTTGGTTGTATTGCAACTTTTCTGTGCTCAATAGTAGGAAAGATACGATTTTCGTCATATTACCACTTTAAATGTAGATTTAAAGACTACAATTCTACTGTTGCGTGATTTATGTTTTAGCGAAAGCCATTTAGTTCTGTTACTGTTTTTAACCTGCTGGAATAAAGGAAGTAAAAACCCAACTGGGTAACTGCGAAGCCGAAGGCGCTTCCAGAATTTCTTGTGTTTCGCTAAGGGCTTTAAATGTGGAGCTATTTCTAGTATAGCACATAAGCTCACCTCTAACAAAGGCCCTCTAGTTGCTCGCGGGATGAAACAACTCAGGGAATGTACAGATACTTATTTAGTGGCTTTTGATAAATATAAAACTGCAGAGTGCTAAAATTAGCATCTTTGTAAAGAAATAAATCTAGAAACGAAATACCACTTTTCGTCAATAACATAGTACATAAGTTTGATACGATCATTCTTGCTACAGAGACAACTAAGAAACTCTAATAGGATTTCTTTGGGACCCTTCCAAACAAAAAGTATGTCTTTTTTAATGTTTTTATTAATTTTGTAATCTTTTTTTATTTTTTAACTTTTTTTTATATTTTGGGGGCCATACAGTTAGTGCTAATCGTATGGCCCCCAAAATATAACAACACGTAATAACATGTCCATTAAGGCCTTTTCTTGTAAGGTCCATTTACAGCATGTTTTAGCAGTTTTTCACTTCCATGGAAAGTTTAACTTAGGCATACTTAAATCATTCCCTGAAGAAGTCTCCAGCAGAGAAAAAGCGCATCAGAAATAAACAAAAAAGCTTACAACTACAAGAAGTCTTCCTCTGCTGCTGCTCATTGGTCTTCATTAAAAAATTTAAAAATTATAAAACAATTACAAAATTCCAATAACCTTCCAAGCAGATGGGCTAAGAGGGTAGATCGTAGAGCGTAGAGCGTAGATCAAAAAGAGTAGCTGGTAGAACGTGGAGAGTAGAGCGTAGATGGGCTTAAAGGGTAGATGGTAGATGGTAGAGCATAGAGCAAGTAGCTGGTAGAACATAGAGACTAGAGCGTAGATGGGCTTAGAGGGTAGATGGTAGAGCGTAGAGCAAGTAGCTGGTAGAACATTGAGAGTAGAGCGTAAATGGGCTTAGAGGGTAGATGGTAGATTGTAGAGCGTAGAGTGAGTAGCTGGTAGAACGTAGAGAGTACAGTGTAGATGGGCCTAGAGGGTAGATTGTAGATCGTAAAGCATAGAGCGTAGATCGAAGAGAGTAGTGGTAGA